TCCTTGCCTAGCACAATTATGCTCATCATCATTAAGTAGAGAATCAAAGAAGGCATCATCGGGCATTGTTTCCTCCACATCACAAGTTTCATCAACTATTTCAACAGGCGCTTGGGTTTGTGTAGGATCAAAATCATCATCAAGGCTATCCTTCAGGGACTTTTTAAATGAGAGGTCATCCATAGATGGTAGGGTAGGTTCCTCATCACAAAGTATCTCATCATCTATGATTTCTTCATCAACCTCATTGGGCACTTTCATATGGGGCTCTTGAGAACTAAGTTCTACGAGGATAGGCTCTCTCTCAGTAGCAATGAGAGGCTCGAAAGAAATAGGGGTGAGAAGAGTTTCAACCATCTCGCCCATGGTTACCGCAACCTCCTCCTTAGATTTAGCACCCTCCTCGTATGTCTCCTGTTGAACCTTGTGGTCATTGTCATAAATGATTTTTTCAAACAATTCCTTGATACTCTCATCATGAGATGCTAGTTCAATCCTTGTCTTTCTTAAGTCTTCCACAAAATCAAGTAAGGACGATTTTAACTCTTCGAGTTCGTGTTGAGGATAAGGTGAAATTCCAGAGTCACCCTCGTAGGAGTACTCGTTTGTGCTGGTGTAATGATTTTCTAGCCTTTCTTGGTAATTTTCATGATAATTAAAATCATCATGATAATTACCTTGATAGGAGAAATCATCACAGCCTTCAAAGTCTTGCCCTTGGTGGAAATAATTATCTTGAAATTGGTAATCTCCATACCCCAAAGGTGGATTTTCGCACCATTGATTGTTATCCCCATAACCTTGTCCATAGTATCCTTCATTTTGATTATTTTGAAAAGATTGTTGTTCATAGTATGGATAGTGATATGGTGGTTGAGAATTAAAGTGTTCACTTGAGTAATCCATGAGAAAATCTCAAGCAAACACGTGAGAACAAAAAAAAGAAAAAGAAAGTCTCCCTAACTTGAATTCGCCCATGCTAAAATCAAAATCAAGAAATCACCGTGCCATTCCCCGGCAACGGCGCCATTTGATAGCCGCTTTCGCGGCGTTGTAGTAAAACGGAGTCTAACCTTTCGGTTTTTCCCCGAGTATCGTGTCTCTCGAGGAATGGCGGAGGAGCTTCTTGATTTTAAGTCCAGTCACAGGTTATCGCAAATTATTGGAAGCTTTCCAAATTAAAACTTTTGATTGATTTTCTAAACTACTTTTTGGAAAAGAAAGTAAATTTAATTGTGCAAATACTAATGATGGCTCAAAAATAGACTAAAGGAAAAAATATAATATTAAACTTAAATGGATTGTTGCAAATAAGGGCAATGAATTGAGTAATTAGAAATGGATATATTCTTGGACCTAGTAATTAGGGAAATTAAAACTAAAATTGGACTAATAATTTCTTTCCTCATAGACAAGAATAGAAACTATTTTCATTAATTTATCCTATTTCTAGGTGTCATTAATGTGTTCAAAAATGGTTGGCTTGAATTAAATTCTAACCTCATAGACAAGGTAGAAATAATTCTCCAATATTTTAATTAATAAAAATAGCCGAATTCATTAACTAGTTAAACTCATTATTTAAGCAATTGAATTTATCTCTCATAGACAAGATGTAAATCCCTTTCATTAAATTATCCTATTTCTAGGCCTTATTAATGTGCTTGAATATGGTTGGCTTAAATTATTTTCTAATCTCATAGACAAGTTAGAAATAATTTTCCAAGAATTTAATTAATGAATATGGCTAACAATTATTAATTACTATTTCATCATTTCAAACAACTAGTCCAAATTATTAATTTTAATCCCTAATTTTCGGTCAACAAGTCAATCCATATTCCTTTAGTCAATTCATGCCCAAAACAAATTTAGCTAATAAACATCATTTTTTCATTTAACAATACAATGAATAAATTCAACATTAACAAGGAATTAAGCATGTATAATAGCAAAAATTAAACAAAAATAATATTCTTCCAAAATAAACTTGTAGAACTAAAATATCACCTTCTGGAATTTTTCCCGAATTTTATAACCTAAAATCCAATTTTAACAACTAATTGATAATTTTTCCAATATTAACTAGAAAATACAAAAAGCAACTAAAATTATTTTAAATTCGTTCTAAATTTTATATTGAATACTAGGAGTGATATTACTGTTAATTTAACTGGAATTAGGACAGAAACTAAATTTTTTCCTTTTTTGAGTATTTAATTTAATTTATGCAATAATAACAACTAAATGCCGGAATTAATTAAAATTTACTTCTACTTCGTAAAAATTAACTTTGTTTTGATAAATAACTACCTTGAGGCTAGTAAACAACTATATAATTAATTGGAATGGATTTAATGTCAACAACTATTTTATTCAAATTTAAGACGAAAATGCGAAATAGTTGAATAATTTTCTGGAAATTTTAGAAGCACAGATAGAAAAAACTAAGTACAGATTCAGATTCTACTCATTGAAAGGATGAAAATACATATAAAGAACTCACAATTTGGAGCTAAAATGAGAAAGATATGAAAGATTGAAGTTGAAGGTGCAACAATGGTGGAAATCCGAGCTTTGAGGAGGAAGAAGACGCCCTTTTTTATCTGATTTGGGCTTGAAATTGGTGTATTTGAGTTGAGGAAAAAGCCTGGATTTTATAGCCGAAAAATTCCCGTAGGCGCCCGGGCAGGCGGCCGCCTTCCGGCAACCTCTGGCCGCCTGCCGTCCTGTCGCCGGCAGACCGTCGGTGGCGGTCCCGTCAGTCGTAGGCGGCCACAGAGGGCGGCCGCCTTCTGTCAAAAATGGCCGCCTGCCATCTTTTCGTTGGCAGATCGGATCCCGACGGATCCCGGCGGACCCCGGCCGCCGCAGGCGGTCCAGCAGGCGGCCGCCTGCCGTCCTGTCTGGCCGCCTGCCGTCTTGTCTGGCCGATCGGTGGTTGGTTTCGTCCCCTTGTGCCGCAGGCGGCCACCGTAGGCGGCCGCCTTCTGTCCAGTGTCGGCAGCCTTCGGTCTTTTCCTGGTCCCGAGTCAAAGCGAGGTTGACTTCTGAATTTTCCCGTAGGCGGCCGCGAAGGCCTCCATTTTGGGCGCCTATTTGGGCGCCTTCGGCCACTTTTGTCTGGCAGATGCGGCTTTTCTTGCTCTTCAACTTTGTCTTCTGAATTACCTTGATAAAATGCTTGCTTCTTCCGGTATAAATGCATTTGTCACTCAAATTGACTCATTTTGTGCTCAATTGACCCGAAATCCCGCTAAACATATTATGGATGTGATTTTTACCTGATTTCATGAAACTTGAACCAAAATATATAAAATGTGTCTTTTCTTTCTATTTTCATTCAAAAATCGCTTAAATTTGATAAGAAAAATAAGTACAAAAATGGACTTATCAGCCTCCCTCATAGGCCAACCTATTTCTTCCTCAGACACCCCACCCCTGCCAGCTGCCACCACAGCCATGTCCCAACTACCCCTACTTTTCCCTCCAGCCCTGTGCCACCACAGCCCCTGCCCCTTCCCCTACCCCCCTTCCTAACCCTCGCACCACAAAAACCACCGTAGCAGCGGCGGAGAAGCGACGCTGCACTAAACGCGATCTCAAATAGATCCAAAATAAATCGATTTGGATCGCGATCGCAAATCGATCCAAGCGTCGAGACAAAAAGAGAGGAAAGCAGGGTGGTGTAGACCTGCGGTGGAGACGCCGACGATGGAAGTCCAATGGTGAGCCGGTGAGGTGAGCCGGTGAGGTGACCAACGATGAAATCGAAGCAGGTCGGAGAAGGAACGATGAGCGGCGACGATGCAAGGGTGAGCGATGGCAGTGGAAGCCGAAGGGAGAGCGGGTAAAGTGAGCAACGATGGGCACCGGATGGTCGCTGGCCTCTTGCGCAGATCTGCTTCTAGGTTGCGAATGTTGAACACGGGAATTAGTCCAACAGGGGTGTTTTAGAATTTTAACATTATTCTAATCTCTTTTATGTCTCTAACGAAAGTCAGTCCTTTTCTTGTCCATCTAAAAGCTGGTAATCTTATTTTTGCCATTGTTTCAGAATAATTGGACAAAGCTATTTGTATCATTTGTACAAGACGTTATACACAAACAATCTAATGGACGTGTAAAATGCCATGTAGGATCTAGACCAAACATTTTTTAATTGACAATCACTTGATTCAGAGCTCATTTGATGACTCTGTTTTTTGGTTTACCAGACTTATCAACTACTCCCTCCGTCCCCCTAAGTTTGTCCCGTTTTACCTTTTTCGTCCATCCCACTAAGTTTGTCCCATACCATATTTGGTAACATTTGAGTGGTTAGAATCCATTCTTACTTTATTCACACTTTATCAATTCAATACTAACCACACAATTCCACTTTTTCTTAAAAACCCCACCACACCCCTTTGTCCCAAACTTAGGGGGACGGAGGGAGTAACTTTTTCACCAAACACGTAACTTTTGATTTCGCGTGCTGAGGTGTGTAATAATAAGAAAAAATAAGGTTGAAGTTACTTTTCCTGACTGTATTGGATGAAGTTACTATAGAGAATCTTTTTACCTATTTTTTCATGTTATTTTTTTTTCATTTTATTAATAAAATATATTTTGAATTTTTTTTCATAAATAACAGAATGAATTTTAGCAGAATGATTCTACGGAGACTCTCAATTCTACTTCAATCAATCATCAATCAATCAATCATCATTTACCTCAGTGCTGCAAAGGCTCTCACCTACGGTGAGGTAGGGGGTCGGATGCACGCAGTTTTACCCTGTACTAAAGTACAAATAGACTGTTTCCAGATGACCCATAATGAAAATCGTTTCCAAAATTGCATGGACTGACTGCTGCTTCATAATAAAGAAAAGCAGACAATTTGATAAGCCATTTTACTTTATTACATCATATTCTTAAGTAAAAAAATAATGAATCTTTTGCTCCATTGCAAAACATACGTGGAACTAAAGAAAAAATTGGGTGTTCAAACGAGTGGACTCAGTTGATCCCCTTACTCGCTCAATTTCGGTTTGCTTGCTCACTTGATTCTTATCGTAGCCTTCTGATCCAACTCAGAGAGCTGATCGGACTCCATATTGCCATATGGGCATCAACTTGTCCAAATCAAGGAACTCCAGGAACTCCAGGACATCCCATTTCTCGCATCAAGGTATCTCGAACTCCATCGAATTTGCTCTCTCTGTTTCTACTTCATAGCCATGTACAACACCTATGTAAGCTCAACTGTCTCAGTAAAATGTAAAGGGTGTGCTGCCTTTTCATCTTATGGTAATCCATACTGTACAAAAGACAGGTTTAACAAATACCCCTTGTATAATTCATCGTCATCATGCTGCTTTTGTTGCGCAAATTCGATGTGTAGAGTCCCACTAGGCCCTTGCTATGTCTATGGTCTGAGGCAGTCCACTTTGATTCAGTGGTCACCTTGTAAAAAAGTGTTCTTGAGCAGCTTAGATAGCACGTCTAATACGAATTCATCCAGTCTCGGCTTTGAAAGAAAATGCTCTTGTAAGAAATCTTGCTCTTTTAATGAGGTGAGTGTGCGTGGAGGAAGAGGGAGATTAAGGTCTCTGGGATTTCAAGATAATAGTGAAAGAGACAGTTTTTCTGATGTTGGTGTGGCTGAGGTTTTGCTCAGTTTGCTTACCAAGAGTGTGGATGAGGATTTTGATGATTTGAGGGCAAGAAAAAAAAGTTCATGGAAGAATAGAGTGTTGGAGATTGAAGAGAGTGGCAATGTTGAGAAAAATTACATCCATAAGAAGAAAGGGAGTAGGGAATCAAGTGTAGTTAGAAAGTCAAAGTGGGAAGCTGAGTCAGAGGAGGAAGAGGATAATAAGACAAGAAAAGAACGTAGGAGAGAAAAAGGAGAAGGAGCTCTATTAAGAACTGAACAGGAGGCCGTGGGGGGTAAACTGGTCAGACCTAGAGCGAGGGAAGAAGATAAAGATGTTTTGTTGAGCAGTGAGAGACAAAAGGCAACCAGTGTTTTGAAAGAAGAAAAGGAATATTTGTCTAGGAATGAAGATTTTTCAAAAAAAAATCATGAGAAAGTGAAAAAAGAGGGGTCTAGCTGTTCTTCATACTACTCGGCTTCTTCAACAGGTGAGCTAGAAAGTGATCATGAGGTGCGGATTGAGCAAGAGCTAAATCAAAGGCATTCGAGGAATGAAATAGGAGAGAAAGTTAGGAGGTTTGAGGATCAGTCCAAGGAACAAGGGGCGGTTTTGAGAAAGGATGACGCGTTTGGAAAACCCTTCGTAGCACCATTAGCTGACATAGAGCCCATCAATTGGAGAAAGAAATCCGAGAAGAGGCTGGGCGAGACATCGATTGAAGAGAAAGAGTTAAGGAAAGAATCTTCACATAAGCAATCAAGGATTTTGGGTGTCGATGAGATTGACTATAGAAAAGAACTTATTAGTTCCTATAAGACATATGATGATAAGAAACGTCAACCCACCTCTGCTGAACAAGCAATTGAACAGTCTGAGATTCAAATAAAGCATAAGAAAGTATTAGATCCGGCAGTAAATGCCACAGGCCCTACAGAACCCTTGAATCAAATGATGAAATCCAGAGATGGATCGGGGAAGTATTCGTTAAAGATTTGTGAACCTCAATTTCAAGAAGTTGATCTTAGAGGGAAACTTGCTAAAGAAAGAGTGTCTAGCATTATTAAAAAGAATGGTGAAACATCTTCAAATATCTTAGATAAGCAACACAATCAAGCTCAAGAGTTAGCTATACAAGTGACTAGAGATGAACATAGAACTTACATTTCCGAGAGGCAATCAAACATGGAGTTTAAAGATCACAAAGAATATAAGTCAAGCCTTCAGTTGTCAACTTTAGAATCCCGGAAATCTTCTCAAACAAGCGCACAACTTGCAGAAGGTACCACTTCAATGCATGGAAAGGATCCACTGGTGGCATGTGGAAATGATGCCACCAATTTTAATGGAAATAACACTAACACACAAGTATCTCAGGCCCACTCATCTTCTCAATTGTCAAATTCTCCGAAATTCGAATCACTAAGTGGTTCTAGTAGGCCAATGGAACAATCCTCAGCTAGACCATACCAAATACAGCGAGAACCATGTGGCGAGGTCAAAAGGGATGAGGTTGATGCGAAACTTCTAGAAGAAGTTGTTTCTCTAAAACATGGACTTGGTGAGTTTGATGAGAAAGTAAGGTGTGAAGTTACCAGTTCTGAAACTCAAGGGGTGAAAAGATTATCACGTGAAACAAAGTTGATACACGAGGGTGAGCAGAATGAACAACGAGAACCTCAATTACAAGAAACATCAAAAACCGAAATCAAGAGATCTGGACAGTCCCTATGGCATATTATTGGAGATATAGTTAGACTCCGGTGGATTTCGCATTCTGGTAAACATATATTTGGGGCATACATATGTTTTTCATCCCTACAATATTTTATTTTAGGTCCCTGAAATATTATTATGCGGAGTATTGTTTTTCATCTCCATGATTTAAATTGTTCTTTAATCCCTCTTCAATAAACTCTCCATGAACATCCATTATTAAAAACAGACATTGCTCATAGAACTCCAGTATTGCTTTTGAGGCGTAAGTTGAAAGTCAGAATGTTGAGTATTGCTTATTTCTAACTGCTCTAATAGTCTTCTAAGAGTTATAAAATGTTGATGTAGAAAGGTCCGGTGAGCCACATCAATTTCTTCAAACTAAGGTTCACGGAGAGTTGGAGAGGGGCTAGAAAGAAAGCAACTTAAGTGATGGGGATGTTACAACAAAAAAATTACAGTGACCTAAAAAATGCTATATTTGCATGGATAAAACATATATAAGCCTTTTGGGTAATTATTTCAACTCCAGGTTTTGGAAGAAGGAGTTCATCACATCAATCTACTACAAGTAGTGAAACCTGGATTGCTGGTCATGTACCTGAGGGCAACAATGGTTTGAAGCCAGAAAACATATTGCAACAAAAATCTTCCTCTGATCACCTTAAACGAAAAGATATTCAAGTTCAGGGAGATGTATCAAACTCATCGCAAAGCAATTCTGTTGTATCGAACGAAGAAATGTTGGAAAAGACTGTTGAAGGCAGAGGGAGATTTGTTTCTTCACCAGCTTCTTCAAGTGGAATATCATTTCCTGATGAGGTGGTCAAAGATGGGGGGGAAATGAGGCAAAGGAGATTTCAGAGGGCCAATCAAGTAGTGAAAGACAGGTTTGATGAATGGGAAGAAGCTTACAGGTTAGAATATGAGCAGAGGAAAGTTGATGAAATGTTTATGAGGGAAGCATTGGTGGAAGCCAAAAAAGCTGCTGACAGCTGGGAGGTCCCTGTTGGGGCTGTACTCGTGAAGGGTGGAAAGATAATTTCTCGTGGAAGCAACCTGTAAGTTTTTTAGTCTCTTAGTGCCCGTTCGGCAAAGGTTATTTGGCTGGAATAGTTGTACCTTTTCAAGAAAAAGTGTTCAGTACAACCAATTTCAGCCAAAATAATTAGGCAAAAGCTAATCATTCCAGGCTTTCCCATTATTCTTATCCTGATTACTCTGTTGGTTTCCAAATGGGCTCTTAATGTTTTATGAATAACTTTTTTTTTCACATCCTAGTTTTTACCCCCCCCCCCCACTCAAATAACTGTCCATTAAGGACACACTGATTTTTAAGGTGGAAATTAATTCTGTCATAAATTGGCACAAATATCCCTACTGATTTCTAGGTATAGGAAGCAACCAGCAAAAGTGAATTACATGTAAGAGGAAAACTAACTCATGTCACTTTGTTTTGTTTTATTGGGGTTGCTAAATGACCACTCATTTGTGAACTAATGCATTTATTTTAGAAAGAAGTGAGTCTCTGTCTTAATAATCCATGTAAATCATGTCCCAGTGTAGAAGAGTTGCGTGATTCCACTGCACATGCAGAAATGATTTGCATTAGAGAGGCTTCAAATATCCTTCGGTCTTGGAGACTTTCGGTAAATGTCCATGCTTTTTTTGTTTAAAAAGTGAATGTTGAGCTCATTTAATCTCCCTAGAGCTGACATGGAGTGTGATTATACATATATTGGGGCAAGCTGACTAGGGTGATTCTGTTTATAGTTAGAGAATAACTAAAGAAGCGGAACATGATCCGAAATCCTATTCAGAAAATAATGATATATTTATTGAGCCACTACTTCAGTAAAGCTATAATGATGTCAACCATATTCTCCCCTTCCCCATCTTATCCCCGCCTTCATGTTATGATCCAAATCTGATTTTGTTATTGCTGTTATTGTTAGTGTTGTTGTTATTATTATTATTATTATTATTATTATTATTATCGTCGTCGTCGTCGTCGTCGTCATCATCATTTAGTACTACGTACTTCATCTGTTTGTTATTATCATTCTTACTATAATAATAAAAAACCAATAATAATACTAATAGTAGTAATAATAATTATTATAATTGCTCTTGACTTTGGGTAGGCTGGGGTAATGTTACAACAGTCATTCAGAAACTTCAAAATGCTCACCAAGACATTCTATGTTTTAGGTTTCATATTTTCCATATGCTTTAGTTGATTTTTTTAATCGTACAATGTGAAAAAAGAGATGTGGCTGTGTTCTTCACTTTAAGTAACACTTTACTTCTACCTTTGATTACATCCAAAACAGTCCCAAAGAAAAAACAACACTTCCTTCTGTCTTGATGTTAAATATTTTGCTTGCTGAAGTAACATATCATGTGTTGTATTGAGTTATATCTTCTGTTATTCTGAATCATTATTTTTCTTTTTTATGTACCAATGTTATTTGATTCTATAGGATACAACACTCTATGTTACCCTTGAACCATGCCCAATGTGTGCGGGAGCGATACTCCAAGCTAGGATTGATACCATTGTTTGGGGAACTCCAAATAAGCTTCTTGGTGCAGATGGAAGCTGGATTAGGTATATGCCATTCCAAATTACTGTCGTCAGTACATTACATCATACGTAGTAACTGATTGATGTTAGAAGTGTTCGACTGTTTGGTACAATTAGTCGTTGAATAGCTGATTTATATTAAAAAAAACATAAAAAAGACCTTATAATTAATTGTTTGTCATATGTGGATAAATATATGTTTATTAAGAACTTGGAGCTTATTCTAAAATGTTGAACGAGATAGCTTTTTAAATTAGAGCTTATTTTTTGTTCTTATGCCACGTACTATTTACCAAACATGACATTATTAGCTTTTCAGAAAAGCTTTGCTAGCTGTTAGCATATAATTCCATCTTTTGCTTATCAAGACCTACTTTCTCAGTTAATAATTCACACATTAGTCATCAGTCAGTTTATCTGTTACTGTTTGTTTTACGATGCATATCCAGTGTTCATTAAGTAATTATAGGCGAGGGGTATTTTTTCTAACTTTAATGAGTGCATTTCATAGGCTTTTCCCGGATGGAGATGGCCAACGGTCAACAGATAAACCACCTGCGCCGGTTCATCCCTTCCACCCAAAAATGAACGTTAGGCGAGGAGTTCTGGCCAACGAATGTGCAGAATCAATGCAGCAGTTTTTTCAACGCCGTAGAAAAAAGGAAAACAAGTTGGAGCCTCCTCCTCCTCCATCACGCATTCCTCTATTGAGCCATCCTAACAAGTTTATAGCTAAGATGCATGATACCTTTCATCTTATGTTCTGTTTGTAACCACCATAATAACTCCATGTTTTACATTTCTAAGAGGTTGTTGATATTATTAGTTCTGCCTAGCTCCATCGAGTGGCAGAACCATAGATTTCTACAAGGGCACACCAACCACAAAAAATGTTGGGGATAAGGGTCAGTTTGGTCCTCGAAGTTGCAAAAAAGGGGTCAAATAAGTCCTTATAAAGAAGATTCTGTCCGGACGTGTCATTTGAGGTGGCTTCCGGTGGAATTTTTTGATGAATTTTTTTGACCATCTTATTCATTAAGTCTAGTTCACTCATACCAAATTTCAGATAAAAATTCAATCGGGAAGACATTCAAATGATTTCTTGAAGATAACTGTGCCGTTATAAGCGCAGTTATCTTCAAGAATTCATTTGAATGTCTTCCCGATTGAATTTTTAGCTTAAATTTGGTATGAGTAAACTAGATTTAATGAATAAGATGTTCAAAAAAATTTATCAAAAAAAACCACCGGGAGCCATCTCAAATGACACGTCCGGACAGAATCTTCTATAAAAGGACTTATTTGACCCCTTTTTTGCAACTTCGAGGACCAAACTGACCCTTTACTAAAAAATGTTGTGTACATGTGATGAAAAATCGTGTGTGAATAGACTTTTAAATCTTTTTCAATCCTACCAAGTTTTCCCTCTAGAGGAGTTGATCTATAATCTTTTGAGAGATAAACAGATGCACAGCGGAAGTCTTTACCCTTTATGTAATGAGTGTTTGACCACTTTCTAATTTGGGGAAGATTGGACTTTAAATAGTGAGCAGTTGGCTTGGCAGTTGCCTGGATGGCAGGGAACTGCTGAGGCAACTGTTAGCTGAAAATGGGAGCTTGGGAGAGATGATAATATGGCCTTGTAGAAAATGATGAGGGCTTACTGAATATGTGTTGAGCTGAAGATAGTAAAGAGTTTTGCCTGAGCAGTGGTCTGAGCAGTTGGATAGACCCAGGAAACTGCTAAGCCTTCTGCTGCTTGTAAAGAGTTTTCTTTAAGGACTGACCAACCACACCTTTTAGTAGTGATATTCAAAGATTGTGGGAAATAGATGTCTCAAGGAAAAGTGAGTTATTAAGCAGTAGGATAAGCAGTAGAGTCAATTAAGACGACTGCTTAGGATGCTGCTGGCAAACTACGATCCCTTTAGTGAGAAGTGTTGGGTGTGTGCTCTGGTGAGTAAAAGAAAATCAACACATGGTATATCCTGGTTCAGAGGTGGTGTAATCCTCCTACATCCAGTCCCACCCTATTTCAGATGGATTTCCACTAAAGTATTAAGCCCAATACACTTAGTGCCAATCTAGCCTTTACAACACTTAGGTCTAGATCGAAGGTTTTTCACAATGAGTATGACACCACTCAAAGTTACTCAGTCCTTAGACTTTTCTCTAATGATCCAGTGGGGGTCAAAAGGTACTCTATCTAACTAACTACACTTTAGGATTCGAACAACTGTTCTCCTAAGTGTTTACAACCACTTGTGAAATATTACAAGAAAGTTCTAATCTCCAACTATGAACTAAGCTCTAAAAATATGAAAGTGTTGATCTAATCTAAGAGCTTAGTGAAGCATGAGGCTAAGCAGAGAGTAAAGTTGAGTTTTGCACTTTCTCTTTTGCTAGATAGCTCGAATATGCTTTTGATGAAGGTATTCTTCTACTTAGGATGCTCAAGCTTATTTTCGAACTCATGCTTCTACCTATATTTATAGGCCTTCATGGTTGATTAATCTCATCCGTTGGTTGAGATGAATTAATCCTTGTCGTTGAAGATCTCTGGCAAGGATAAGTAGTACAATTGTCTTCTTGTGCTGGAGCATTGATTTCAGCTGATCACTTTGTCTTGTATTGTGTGTGCGTCCCATGCCGCGGCCCCAGTACTTGATCCGGTATTAAATGCCGGTCAAGTTTTGTCTTCAATCATATACATTCAATGTATATGTTTATGTGACATTTAATTTTTGTGTGCTAATAGAATTATACTGGTAGGATTTAAATATCCTTTTAAGGTAAAAGAATTTTTACCTTATTGCATTTTGACTTTCCAGTGTAATTTTATTAGTTCCAAAAATTTTACATTTATTTTGTCACATTTTAATGCTAATATTTGAATTTAATTTAGACACAATGTACGGGTGCAAAGTATAGTGGCATCATCAAAATCTATCAAAATTGGGTACTAACAATATTCTATATCCATCAAAACTATTTCAATAAATATACTCAAATTAGCATATTCAATAAGTGTGTAACTAATCGTGCCATTTTGTAATACGAAGTTTTGAACGGGAAATTAATTAGACATATTCACAAACATTTTCTTGGAAATGAAATGGTTTTCAATCAAGAGCGACATTTTAATTTATTGAGAAGTGATAAGTCCGTATTTTGACACACATTTGATGCGAGTTGGGATCGTATTTTGGTGGTTTCCCTAATTATTTTGTGTCACAAGTCTCATTTTTAGCTCAAGTTATGTTTACCGGCCGTTGGTTCGAGTTTTGTGTTGTTTGGAGTCAAAATCAAGTAATTTGAGTCCGGCACCGGCGCTTGAGAAGCAATCGAGACGATTTGAGAAGCATTCTAGAGTGAATTGAGAGCTTTGGAGGTCACCAGGAGGTTTACGATAAAGATTTGATGTCAAAAGAGCTTTAGGATTGGATACGGGATCAAAAAAAGACGAATAGAGCTAAAAACGACGATCAGGATGACCTTCTGTCAATCGTTCAATCATATCTTATGTAGAAACACCGAAAGGACACAATTCAATTTCAATATGAAAGCCAACATCAAGGGCTACAAACGAGGTCAGATGATTGTTGTTGCGATTTCAGAATGCGGCCTTCCACCATTTTATTCATATCTTTTGATTGGATGATTCAAATCCCGTTTTGCAAGTTGTGGTAGATAGAGAACTTCATTATCTACAACTTTCATGAAGGAAGCATTGTCAAATTCGGACGAGAAAACGCCAGGCACGTTCATGCTTGGGAGATAGGCACGCCGTGCCTAAAGAAGAAAAGTGTACGCAAAACTACGTCGTTTTGGGTGCGGGAGCACGGTGCTCACCGTGGGGTGATATCACGGTATACGAAGTGTTCGAGTAATTATTTATGTAATTTTGTCTAAATTTTGATTCTGTTTAGAATAATTTCTACTCCGGGTATAATTTATATAGTGTGAAGAGTAATGCTAATTTGGAGCAAAGTCATCATAATTGCGTATGTGAGTGCGTAGGAATGTGTTTCTTCTACTTTAATTCACTGGCGTGCAGGGGCGGAGTCAGAAAAATGGCTCAGGGGGGTCGAAACTCAACCTATATACGGAATGAAAATGTTAGATCGTTTTTAAACCATGTCTAATTTGAATATTTCATATGTAGTTTAGATAAATAGACACTCGTAGCAAAAAAGATAGATTGTCTTTGCTCTATTTATGAGTCATGTCATGCAAGTATTGAGTGGATTATACCCTAATTTTAACATTTGGAAAAATAATCTATAATGTGCATCAAATTTTGCTAATTTTACGTTTAGATAGTGCTGATTTTGCACAAGTCATAATTTTTACTCGTAATGAGTTACGGGGGGCCATAATATATCAAATCGAAGATATTTCAGAGCTCTATACTCTCAAACGTTCAGCGGGGTCGGCTGACCACCCTGACCCCCTGGCTCCGCCCCTGCTGGCGTGAGTGAATACGCATATTGAATTGGCTGGAAAGGCAATAGCGCCATTCTCTCGTAGTCTCGTCAACAAGCTTGGGCATCCATGTATAAAAGACATGGCAGCGCCGGCGGCGTTTCTTGTCCGGTCAAGCAGTCACGGCGCCCCCCCCACTAGCTTGCTACTTTCAGGGCCATCTAATGAATTTGGAGGCCCCGGTTCCAAATGACAAATTGAGCCTTCTAAAACAAGAAAAAATACTCCATATAAAATTCAACAAAGAAATACAAATAGACTAAATAATTCAATGAAATATAACAATATGAGTTCTATAATGTTTAAAGTACACGAGTTAGAGAATTTAAAAGTTATATATCTTTTGAAATTTTGAATAATACATAACATCTAGACAAATAAACCTATAACTAATACGGAGTACTACATTCTAAAAATTTGGAGGCCCTATACAAGAGTGGGCCCCGGTGCCAAGCACCTATTGCACCTCTTAAAAGACGGTCTTGACTACTTTGGTTTGCCGTGTCCTTTGTTGTTACGACGGCGGGTCGGAATAAGCTGACCGACCTTGAATACAATGCAATGATGGAGCTGAAAAGCAGTCTTACGTTCCCCGCAGGAGGAGAGTCCCTATGGACTGAACGTGATCCGTGCTACTGGCTCCATGTGGGTTGTGAGATCTAACCCGACTTACTTTGTTGACGTTATCGAGATTCACGGTTTGAATATCAGGGGGACTCTGCCGCCAAGCCTGGGAAACCTCACCGGGTTGTCCGTTTTCTCCGCCGGCGACAACCGCCTCACCGGGCCACTTCCGGACTTAGCCGGCTGCTCGAATCTCCGAGTGCTCAACGTTTCCCGCAACCTGTTCACTTCAATCCCGCCAACTCTGTTTCGTAACAAGCCTGCACTCCAGTCGGTTGTTCTAGACTACGTACAACATTTTGCTTCAGCCCTGGAAGATTCCTGAAGATCTGAGCTCCTCTTCACACCTCGGTGTTTTCACCGCCGCCGATTGCAACGTCCATGGGGACTTCCCCATGTTCATTTTTTTTCCTTTTAATTTGAAGGTTTCGATCGTGTTCGTACGTGCTTATTTAAGATTTGAATCTCATCTAATGGTCGATGTCTCTCTCTTTCGATTAAAGTAGAAATGCTAGGGGTACGCAAGTTGTACGTATACAAAATGTCGGTCACAGACAATTGGTACGTAATTGTCTGTGTCCACAGACATTTACTTTTTTTTTGTAAAAGTACATTGACAGCCGCCGGATACTGACACCAGCTTGCAGATCAATCAATATATGTGCAATGCTTGTGTTTACTGACAATATTTTCATGTTGCACAGGTAATTATTTTTCTGCGTGCACATACAATATTTACCACACAAACAATAGTTATGCGTTTCCACAGACAATAGTTGTCTGTATGATCAACTTTAGTTGTCGGTGTGATCAATTTCAATTGTCTGGGAGAACAAAAAATTTAATTATCTATATATATCCAAATGAATGATGTGGTTGTATGTATGATCAATTTACATGTAATTTGAAAAAATAGAAAAATAATAAAAATAGATGAAATAAGATGAATAAGATTAACTTGTGCAAATCATGAAAAATAAAATTGATTAAAAAAGGCGGAGAAAAGAGGATGAAGAAGGAAAGAGGAGGATGAAGAGAGAAGGGGGGAGAGAAAAGGGAGAGAGAATCGAGAGAAAAGAGGGAGTGGGAAACGAGTTTTTTTTGCTTTTATAGAATGTACAACTTGTGTACATGATGTGTATACTAAGCATTTTTTATGAAAGTATTAGAGTAACCATGTGTTAGCTATTCAGTTTAATTTTTAATATTTTCTTCAAGCGGGAAATTGTAATTTGTGGACTCAAATGATATACTCGTATGTAGTAATATATTGATATTCGCTTAAAGTTAATTTGTGGACCCACATGTCAAGGGACATTTTCTCAGGTAACGGCTACCTTTATGTCAGTCAAAC